TGGGAATTAAGCTTGCTGGAGCTTTTCCGAAATATCAAGTGGGTTTTTTTCTGTGCCTTGGATAGATGCCATATATGCAATATACGCACGAAACATCTGCGTAGTAATCTGTGCTCTAAGAAGAAAGGCCCTTCCTGACTAGCTGGGAGCTTCAGGGTTAGGGAAAAGAAAATGGTGAGGTCAAGTCAATGAAAACAAAAGAACGTGTGTCTGGTAAGAGGACAGTCACGATTTCAAATACTGCAGGCCTTGGAATACAACAGAGACATGAAACCAAGATTCCTCGAGTGTAACACACTTCTTCCCAGCTGCTTGGAAAGGCAAACACCCCACCTACCTGGAGCACTCACAGAGGCAACATCTGCTGTTTTTTACAGACAAGAAAGAACATTTTTGACGGAAGGAACTCATGATTCTTCAGGTGCCAAAACCTTGGGTCCAGAACGTACGCAAGGAAGAAAATAGTACATCCTGGAAGTGTAACAGGATGACGATTGCAAACCTCAGTTGCACTGACTTCTTTACAGGGATGACAAAGAAACGGGGTGATCTCAAACAACATTTCTTCAAGGGACGTGAAGGACAGTAGGCAACAACAGTTCGGATGCCACAGGATCCATAAAGCCTACACAGCACGGGGACAGCAAACTGCAATTCCCTTCTCTTAGCTCCAGCTGACCTTTCAGTTCCGCACTTTGCAAGGTCCTACATTCTCAAAATTTCTGACCACTCAAGTCCCCTCCCAAGCAGGTGTGTAACTCCAAATCATTCTTGATGTGTACTGGAGCCACCACAGCAGGGAACGTCTTAGTATGTGGGAATTCAGAAGATGGAGTGAATCCAGTACTTTAAAGCTTTGATTATGGAAAATTACAACAAATCTCCCATGCAATGATGCAAGCTGAAATGACAGTGCTCAGGCTCCTCCCCGCTTTACATTCAGAAGGAAAAAGTGGATAAGGTGAACAGGAAGCAGCATCATATTTCTGACAGACTGGGAGAGTTCAGGCAGGGAGGCAGGCAGGAAGGCAGGCAGGCAGGAAGGAAGGAAGGAACTTATTGTGAACAACCATTGGGCATGTATGTATTTCAGCAGCTGAGCATCAGTGCAGGATGAGCAGAAAACTTACTGAGGAAATAATTTCAACAGGTATCAAATGCTGAGATGATTTTTACTGGAGAACAAAGCTTTGTTCAAACACATTTTGCTAGCAGGAGAAATAATGGCCTGGTAATATATTCATGTAGCACTTTGCCCTACATGAAACTCACAGAGGAGCTTAGGGGCCCAGCATCATCCTAAATGCAGTTATCATATAGTCCAAATCCAAAAATGCTTCTTCAGCTCAGCCCTTTGAGCAGATTGCTGTCTGTGGATACTTTGCTCAGAATCACACAGCACTGTTCTACCACTTTGAGGACGGTCTTTTCAATGTTAACCCAAAGCAGGACTTGCATTGAGAAATCTCAAAATAACTTCTTCCTTCTCTGTGTAGTTATGTAAGGCTTTTTTTGAAAAAAATGATCTTTCAACTCAGGCTTACAGTGATAACAGTATAATAATGGTGTTTCCAACAGCGTGCAGCTCGCCCCAAGAGACATTGGAAGATATTTTGTCAAATTAGTTCCTCAACATCACTGGGTCTGGGAAAAAAAGCTCAGATCAGGCCTGTGCCCTTCTATCCTAGTGGAGGCTGGAATAGCGTTTCTGCCAATAATAGCTTCAATCAGGCAGTTACTGCTCCAAAGCAAAGTCTTCCTAAAACTGAAGACAAGACTTCAAACACACAATCATGTACTATTCTGGCTTTAAGATCCCCAGAACAGACTGGATGGTGTCTTGAATGAAGAAGAATGAAACAGTTTTAAGTCATTTTCTGCAATAGGAATAGAAAAGAATGCTATCGCGTTTTTAAAAAGAGTTTAACTTTCTCTGCAGACAACAGAATACAAAACCACTTAAAATATCTGGTAAGTATTATATAATGCTTTTAAAAAACTTCCCCTGCTTGCTCCAGTTTCAACTGGGGTATGAACTAAAGTCAGTGGAAGTCTTTTTGCTGACATCAATGGGCTCTGAATTAGGACCTCATTGCTTGTAATCCAGCTTGTGTGCTACATTAATTCAGAAATGGGTTTTAACAGCTTCTTTCACCTAACAATCTCCTGAGCTGCGCACTGAGAGAGCTTTTTTCCCCCCTCTTTTTGGAGGACAGTAAAGCACAGCAATAGCTACAGTGTGACTTGCACTTTGCAAGTGGAATTTCCAGAAAGCATAAACTGCTTTTCAGAGAAAAAATGTTCTCCAAGTGTTCCCCAAAACAAAAAACCACTTACAGAAACCTATTCCATTAACAACCTGGATAAGGAACATATAAATCATAATAAGAATATGAGTGGATACAGTGTGAAGAAACCAAGAAAGGGGACAGAACCAGTTTTGGAGAACAACTGACATACAAGAAACTTTACAGATGGCACTGCAGTTGAGAAATAACATCTTAACCTTAGTACTTTTAAGCAAGTATTTGCAACAGACACTCATTCCAACTCAGTGTAAATGAAGCAATAAGGGGAAGGAATACTGCTGCCATCCTGTCACTTCACTGTCCCCCCACTCTGGAATCATACAATTAACACAGTTTTGCTGCACAAGGAAATGTTCTCATAAACTTTTGTTCTGCCCCATAACTTCACCTCTGTTTAAGAAGATGAAAGTAAACATAATTTTGGTTCCTCTAGTTTTTTAAAAGAAAGAGTTTTAAAACACTCTGCTTACTCTATTTTTATACACCTGAGAGGTGCCTGCTCTCATATCACCCTTGGTGGACCAAAGCCACATGAAGATTGCTGGCTTCTGACTTTCAGACGAGGTTTTTGAGTCTATGAGGTCCATTCACAGATTTGTTCATTAAAATAGTATTTGTATTGTTTTGTATTATTTTATTCCCCTCAAGGACAGGTTGCTCATGCTCCCTCACACAGCCATTCCCAGCTGAGCTCTGAAACACAGGGCAACAACAAGCTCTTGTGGCCGGTGGTCACACCAGTGGCCACCCAGCCCTAAAAATCATAGCTCTGAATGCAGTGTGTTTTGTCTCCCTTTTCTGACCCACTCTGTTACCAGCTGTGGGTATTTGCTCACATGGTTAAGCTATAACAAAGAGAGGAATAAAGTCTTTTGACAGAAATTCTCAGTTCAAGCAATTTCACCAAGGATACACTGGAGTGACACTGAAGTGCAGCGCAATGGCCAGCACCACTGTGGGGGAAGACAGCTAGAGCTGCAGATCACTAGCTTTTTGTTAAGCTTGTACTGCCTTTCATAAAGCATATGATGGCTTACCTTATGGGATCAAACTTAACAACAATTTTCCCTCTACCTGGAAGAGAGAGACTACATTAAACACACTTCTGTACATCTATCTCTAGCCTGTCCTTTATAGTCCAGCGTCCTCTTACCAGTAAAGTCCAAACTTGTATCGACTGCATGGGCAAGGAATAGATCTTACATGACGCTGGCCTGAACTCCTCAAAATGGCAGCCTTGAACTATCTGACTTGATCATAAGTCATACACCAATTGATGTGTCCACAGGAGAACCAGAGACGACCAATAAAGGAGAGGCCAGGAAACACGTAGTTCTCCATGACAAACACAGGTTTATCTGGACTGCAGTGATCAACTGATCCAAATTTATAGCTAGTGGGTCTTCACTGACCCTTATCAGTCAAATCCCAACTTTCATAAGCAGGCCTATAACAGTGCCGGTGGGTGACCAGAACTTCACAGTCCATCAAACTCTCCAGATGCAGGGAAAGAGAGAACCTGGCCAACTCTGAAGAGGAGGAATAAGGGATGAATGGAAAAAGAACAGTTCTAAACATTTGGGGAAGACATTTATGCTTCAGCAGGTGTACTGCTTTGACATGACATAAGATGAGGTGAGCTCATATTTACAGCTCATGGTAAGATGAAGGAGCCCTAGAACTCATCAGAATCCACAAGACACCAAGCCTGAAGGAACAATTCAGTTGAGACATCAGCTCTTTCAGATAAAATGCAGCTTACTCAACTAATCAGAGTTTCTCCCCAAACACAGTGAGCAAGGCTTAATTAGGAACATAATGTCATGTGTGAAGGACATTTTGTTAAAAATACACTGCATGTTTTGGAGAACTCTATTTTTTTCTTATGATGTGACATATAATGGGCACTGAACCAAAACACCGCAGAAGTATGTGGTTTATGCTATCTCACTGGACTACCAAACAACATTTAACATTCAGAAAGTATTGCAGATATATTGTAGAGGATCTCTAAATGTTCCTTTACAGTATTGCCACAGTAATTGCTTTTCTTCCATGTTACTACAGCCATTTAAAAGGCTTTATAGAGAGCTAGCAACACAAGCATCATAAAACATCTTCTTAACCTCATTTGGAAAATATGTACAACCTTTTTGTTACTTCTCCTCCCCTGTCTTCTAATCTAGACTCCATACTGAGCCCAGTTTTCCATTTTCTTAGCAGCATCCATTACAAGCAACTCTATTCAAGTCAATAAAATTACTCCTTCCTGGAGAAGGAATCAGTCCTCTCCAAAAATCACTATAGCAGGTAATTTTCCACTGACAGTTCTTATCATAAAACAGGTTACAGAAATTACTTTTTATCTAACACTGAAAGTAAACAATTAATGCAAACTGTACAATGTTTTTAAAGACAGTATGTTCACTACCTGTGCCCTTTATATGTAATTACTTTCATCTTAGTAAGTAAACAGTTAAGTAAGACTACCTATTCACCAGGCAGCAGAACATCTCTATTTATTTGTGTATTATTTTACCTTTTGTTACCCCCTTGGAAAGCGTGTGGAATCTAGGAGACGTTTTCACGCATCATTTCTTGCGGGAGAACGTCAAGTCACCTTTTATGCCCTCAGGCAAATGTCTCTGACCTGATCTCAGTAACTGTCTGTATCAAAATTGTTTTTCATACCTTGTGTAAGCAGCTGGAGGTTTCGGACTTCTTCTCTCACCTTCAGCTGAAGGACTTGCTGCAGAATGTGCTGTCGCAGGCTTTCCTGGGCAATGCCCATTCGTTCAAGCTTTTTGTCAGTAAGTCTCAGCAAAGCACGGCCTGGGTGCAAAAAATACAATGAAAAAATCACCCAGGGATTTGCATTAATGCAATAGTCTCACTCTGACAGTATAATGTGCTACAAATAAGATTCTCAGCCTTGAAGTACCTCAGTCTGAGAAGAAACTGTTTCATCAGTGAGGTACTTCCTTACTGTTAGAGATCTGTGTGCCACTCCTGCCTTTTCTTTCGGTTTTCTGTATAGTTTTGGTGGTTTTTGAGAGATACAGGCATTTGAAATAGGTATCTTGTGCCATTCGGGACAACCATTTGCTGTTCTTCGGTGTCAGCTGGCTTCCCACAGGCAGGATATCCCCTGTAAGTCTACAATTGACACAGGTGCCCAAGAAGACCCTCATCTCTATTCAATCATCTGTATTACTGTCAAGAAACTAGTAACAGCGGACTTTAGAAATTAAATCAATTTAAGATATACCAAGGATGAATATTGTTGCAATTCAGATTTATCTACAGCGTAACACCACCACTTCCCCATATGGTTCTGTATTTTATGGTTCAGCCTTCCCAATATCTCTCAACATTAAACTATCACAACAAAACAATAAAATAAAAAGCCAGAGATTTCTATCAATTATATCTGAATCATTACTGAAAAATATTTTGTCCAACTATAAAAAGACATCTGCTCAACTATAAGGAGCCTTTGCAGGCAACCACTCCCAGTTTGTGAGTTATCTTTACTATTAGGTTAATGTTGAACCAGAGTCCGAGGCAGACTGTAGATGTTAAAAAATCAAACAATCTACATTGCCCAGATTCTGCTAGTGGAACTCTGACTCCATCTTTTGGGCATCACTATGCTGTAAATAAACAGGAAGAAGGCTGTACAAGCAGAGAAATAAAGCATCAAGCAGAGCTTTATCCTAGGAAGAAAACTAAAACTTACTTTCTTTGGGTTTCATCACTGCACCACTTCACCAAGAGAGGAGTCTCTTAGTAGCCCTCCACTGACTCTTGATTCCCAATATTTACATTTGTTATCTAAAGGTGGCCAATACCAACAAATCAAATTGGAGCTACACTGATACTACTTTGAAAATGACATGTTGTTTGGTACGCTTTTTTAAACAAATTCAACTTTTTATCTCCTATAGTTCTTTTTAATTGCTAAAAATTTCCTCTTTGATTTCTAAGGCTTTATTCTGAAACCAGAAGATAGCAAAGAGTAAGTTATTCCCTCTGCAACACAACAGTCTCTGTGCTACCATTACTGTGGCTTTTGGATGAACAGTACAATTTAGCTCATTAGAAAGTTTTACTCAACACAGCAAGATAAGGCCCTTATTCAATCTCTTTCCTTACGAAACAGCAATGAGTACAGAATTTTTATAATTATTTTAATTAAAAAATTTAAGATAAATGCCAAGGTTTTAAAGGGGTGCATAATTTTTGCCCCAAACCAAGCAGTTAACGGTAAGCCCTTCACTAACTGCTAGATTTCGCTCACAAGCAGTTCTCTGAAGTGTTTAGTAAAATCTTGATACGATGCAATGTAAAATACTGGGATATTACTATTAATAAAGCAAGATGTTATTGATCAGATAAAAATGACTGTGTTCATAGATCTTCTGCCCTTCTGTGTCTCTCAAGCACTACATACTACAGAGGATGACCTTTTGATGAGGAAAACTTTCTTTGGAATAATAAACAAGAAGAATTCTAAGGGTTAATGTAATAACAAATATGGAAATTAGTCTCTTACAGATCAATGCCAGCTGTCCAATTCCCCTGGTGATAAAGACAGCAATAATTACTTCAATTTTTATTTGTCTTATCTCACTAAAACATCTTAAAGCAATTTATAAACGGTGTACAACAGTTCAGGAGTATGGTCTGTAATGTCAATCTAGCAACTGAAAGCAAATAAAAAAACAAGTCATCAATTTAAAGAATGGCAACACACATGTCATCTTAGGGCAGGGAGTCAGCAACAGTAATATGAAAGGACACACAGAGGCCATGCATCTTATCCACCTCTTTTTGGCCATGGATAGTCATTACTCTTTCCTTCCTCTGGGCAACTCTCTATTTCATATTCAAATTGGTTTTCTACCCCAGTCACTGCCTTTGGAAGTTGAGTGTGCACAAAACAGAGACATCTATTTTCAACTCTTGGCATGCCAGTTCCTCTGCAGCTTAGGCTCAAAGCACAATGCCACTGGAAAAAACTGTCTTTGACTCATACTATCTGCAGCAGCTTGCACAAGTTGCCTTAAGTTAACTCTTTCTTGCACCAAATCCAAAGTGACATGTTGAGGCAGTGATGAGGCAAGAGAGTAAACATCCAAATGTGGCATTTCAAGAATGCAGTAAGTATCTGAAATGTGAAAATTCAATCCTCCCCTTACCTTCTCTCCCCTCAGCACTAAGAACAACAACCACCAAGCCAGAACTGGAATAATTTTTCATTCTGATAGTAGATCACGTTCTTTGAAAAGATATTGTTAATGCCTGGATCAGTCACCAAAGCCAATTAGTTACCAAGGCCAAGATCCTGACAATCAGCTAATTATTCTGGATGCATCACTGCCTTGCTTCCTGTACTGTACATATCTGAAAGAGTTATCATTTGGTGCTAAGAACTCTGCGTTGTCGAACACTGAAACCAATTGTCCAGAGAATTTGTAGAATCTCTGTCCTTGGAAGCATTCAAAACCTGTCTGACAAGGTCCTGTGCTGTACTTGCCCCCGATTTCAGTAGGGGGTTGGATTAGATGATTGCCAGAGGTGCCTTCCAACATCAACTGTCCTGTGAAATAACCTGCATGAAGGATCTCAATCTAAAGATCTATTTTCTTTGAAAAAGCTAAGATTAACAAAGGAAATTAATAAAAATACATAAAAGATGGTTATTTTGTGAAGCATCATGCTTAAAACAGAGAGACAGCTATACAGTAAAAATTCAGGGTAGATTTTTACTTTTCAGAGAGTGCTGGATAGAATATATTGTCAAGAGCAGATCATGCAAGAAAAGTAATATTTTCTGAAAGTGTACACTAGTCTTTGCTCAGACACAAGTAGAAGGAACTTGACTACTATCTCAGGAAAATTTCCCAACACTACAAAACTGGGACTACCCCTTAGATGTAGCAGCTACCTGCCTAATAGAGAACAGGACATTTTTTTTCAAAAGCCCCTTGACCAACAGAACCATAAAAATTGCAGTGACAAACACCTAGGCCTTGGCTCTAGCTAGTTGCAAGGCTGGAAATCAAATGTTTTACACAAACCCCCACAACTCCCTCAGTATCTGTACACATCTTTTAGCACATAAACCCCAGCCCTCTCATACTCAGGGCAGATCAGCTGTGGAATGTTTGGAGATATCCCGAGGGCAGACACAAAATATAAAACACTTTCCAGCTTAATAATGGATTGATGGCCTAATTTTTTCTAATATGACTTAGCTGCTACAGATCTCATTTGATCAAGCTAGGACTAGATGAAAATTTGAATGGAGGGAGAAACACTGCATGCCACAGAAGATTAGCATGAATATAAGCACTGGTCCAACAAGGCTGGTACTGGCCCTAGAGCAAGGAACATGGCACATTCTGCTGTACCTCATCATAAATGCTCACACCTCCCTGCACTGGTATAGCCTGTTGCTCTTCACCCAGCTGCCAGTTCACAGACACATGGAGGGACACCTCGCAAGAAGCCTTGAAAGAACACTTGTGATGCAGGAGAATGGACAGGTAAGAAACAACTTATTAAACATGTAGAAAGAACCAAAGGAACATGGGGAAATGAGAGCAGATAGTTAGTCAGAGGCTGATCTCATACAAAACACTGAAGAAAACTATGAGTAACTTAAAGTTGATGAAAATGATAAACCACTAGTGGGAACAAATGATGTGTGTAAAGTATGGACAAGAAAGGTGATCTTGTCTCCTGAGTACAATTATGATAGGTATACCTGATTAGCAAGGCGTTTGGTTTACTTACCGTGGGGTTCAGAACCCAGGAAATAAAGAACACAGTGGAGATTCCAAGGGCACTAAAACAGGCCCTAATGCCAGACCAACAGCTTACCCAGCCCTGTGTTCATAGTGTCCGTAGGAAATGCATTCTGGGAGAGCTGTTGGGAGGGTTACTTTCTGAAGTCATTGCCTTTGTACCACAGCAACATCCAGAACTGTTATACTAGGGTTATTAGAGAGTACACAATTTTAACACCTACTTATTGTCCTGATGTCCCTACATTTCTGTTTTTGATCTTCCTGATACTGTCTGCTTCTGTAGCCCCCTGAAATGGTAAATTCCAGAAGCTCACTGCCCTTTTTTGTCTGTCTTATATTGATTTCCTACTAATTGTTTCCAGTGTTTGCTAGGTCTTGCATTGCAGGTTTTGGTTAACAATTCAACATACAGCTGCTGACTCTATTATCTGTAAACTTCAGTTATATGCCTTTTGGTCATATTTCTGATGGATTCAGCTGACAAACCTAGAAAACCTGAAAAAACAGGAACATAAGATTCCCTAAACTCCTAAATTATGCAAGATGAAAACTTTTTCATCTTTTATACTTAAATGCTGCAAATGCCATTTTATTCTTAGATAATGGATACCAGTGTGCTTCTCTGGTTTTTCAAACATGTTGCTTTTGTGTTTACTTGAAATAGTCTGATCACAGCTTTCCTCTTGCTTATATAGGCTGAATGCTGGCTTCTCTTGACTTCAGTGCCTAAAAACAAGCCTTGATGGACACATCAAGTAAGACATTTCCATGACAGAGACACAGACATTACTATCAGGTGCTGGTGAGACACAAGCATAAAACTCTCATCACATACTCAGGAAAGCATGCAAACAAGAATGGGCAGAGAGGTTATGACTTCATAGTGAGGAATGACAAAATTACGAGAGGAGGTGAGGAAAAGAACAGTCACCTACAGAACGTTAATGGCCTCATGATGGCAGTGGAGGGAGATCAACACTGGGAAAAGAGAAGAACTAATAAATTTGGGGACTGACT